ATGTACATTAATTGCTCAATTTTGTGGATAAGTTGAAGTTAGACATTACCACCGTTGGATGCCTGTCCAGTAGTCTTTCGGTTAAGTGCTCTGGTGCGAGACTGCTAGGTCCTGGGTTCGGATCTCCCGAGGCGGGATCGTAGATGCTCACTGTTGAGGAGTCCTACGATAGGACGAAACGGCCGTCTGGTGCTTCCATGGTGGTCTAGTTTCAATTGACTCATGATCTCAACTATATATATATATATATATATATATATATAGTGTCAATAAAAGTATCATGTTGGTGTAAATTACGTTTTTACTTATACATATGCGTGAATAAACTTATTTACTTTTGTATAAAATAGTATTTAACATCTTACTACTTTCTCAAATCGAGACCTTGAAATTGTTTTGCCTATATCCATTGACATTTCAGTGAACCAACGTTAAACGATGTTAGGTTCTTATTAGTCAATGATGACCATGAACAGATTTAATGCTTTGTAAGCACTTCATTTGTATGCTTATAGAAATTTACTATAATATTTGGCAGTATTCTTATCTATGTCCGATTTATATTAATGAATATACAACTTTTTATTAATTTTAAAGATTTAGTTGATCAAATATGGCTGAGAAATGGACTTCTTCAAATAATAATTCCCGTACTTGTATTATTCAATGATATCCATCTGTTGAATCTGCCTGTATCTCGGAGTTGATGCTACCACTTAAAATTCAATCACTTCTTAATGAATACACAAGCCTTAACGGCTAAATTAATAATTTATTGTGAATGCTTTCTGACAAGGTGATCCAGAACATTTCTCGCAATAAATAAGAAAGGTTCAGAAAACACTTAGAAGCACTTTATCTAATCAGCGTTCACTAAAAGTTTTGCCAGAAACATCACCAAAGTTCTGATTGGTTGATTACTACACTGCTACTATGTTTAGTAGCATTCCAGAATTTTCAGGAAAACCCAAGGACTTCTAAAATACTATAAAAACCCTATATTTTCTGTACATAAATGAACTTTTGGAGCAAAGTGCTTCTCGTATATTTTGCACCTTTTCTCTCGTATTCAAGTGGCTTTGTAGATTTAACTTGGGGTTTACGAAACTAGCTTAGGATCCGAGTATAACGTTCAATTAGCAAGACTTAACACTTTCTGTTTATCAAGTAAAAATGACTAATATGGTTTGGACTATTTTCATAGTTAATTTTCTACAATTCAAATCATCAATTTATACCGAAATAGGTTACCCTTAGTAACAAAATATGAATTTATACCTTCTTTCTCCTAACAGCTACGAAAACTTTTTTTTATTTTCAAAAATTTATCGATTCTCTATTATTTTCATCTGAAATTTCTAAATGTCTTGGTGATATGAAAAACTTATTATGATTTTCTATTGGGAAACAAGTTAATTTGAACTAAACAAGAGCATTGCCAGTTAGATATAAATTAAAATGGATAGGTAGTTCAAGGTTATTTTCTCAGTATAGCAATTCACTTTGATTGTATGAACCAATCGTGTCTTGATATTAAGTTTAGTTAGTCTAGCGATTAGTAATTGTATTCAAAAATGAAGATGTTATATAGATATTTGGTTGTAGTTGTAACAATGTGGATGAAGACTGGTCCTAAATCTAGTAGAATGTTTTTCAAGATAAATTGACTGCTACATGAAGGTTTTAAACTAATTTAAAACAAACAATTTATCAATAAGCTAAGTATGCGTTTTACTTTATAAGAATGGTGAAATGTATTGCTGGAGTGTCAGAGAATTCAAGTTGAATGTACTATCCATACATTTGGAATGTTAAGTACTCTAATAACTATTTTGAAATATGAATTCATTTAGTATGGCTATTAATAAGACTAATTTAGTTGTACCACCGCAGATAATTTCTTCATTGGATAAGTTGATTAGGGGCGGCCGAACCAGAACGTGCCCTGGTACGGCCGAGAGTGGGGAGAATCAGCTCTCCCTCTTGAAATGTTCTCACATGGCCACGTGCATACAACCACTGCCTTCTCGTGGCATTACTGTTGTTTACGAAACGGAGAGGACGAAAAGCGAATGTTCGGTGCTTTAACCGGGTTGGTGGGTACGGAGGATCCACCTAGGGGAGTTGGGAAACCCTGATTCCAAAACAATGGTGTACGTGGGGTCCAAGATTCTAAAACAAATGACGTATGAACCTACTGTTGGTCACTAGCTCCACTGCCTTGCGGATTAGACCTTTAGTTCAAAAGCTCCGGGTGTGGCCCCCTAGGTAAACCACCTGCTTCATTTTGAGCACCCGGATAGTATCGAATGATTTATGTGGCGCGTATCTATTCGGTGCCTCCTTGTACTAATGTTTATGTGTTTAAATAAATAAATAACCAGAACGTGGCATCAGTTCATAAAGTCACTAATTTCTGGTCTGGGCCATGTTGGTAGATGCAGCTTACTTAGCTCAGAATAGATCACAATGGCGTAGGTGCATACACTGTTTGTCTTCCCTTGTACAGTGAAATTAGAATTACTTTGTACCTTTATACGAACTAATTCTTCCTCCCTGTATCATCTACATACGAAGTCTGTTTTGACTACCATTAAAGTAACTGCTTCTATGAATTTGGTGTTCATCTTCTTATGCTAATGAAGTATAACAACTCGGACCTACGCAAATATGTGCCTAGTTATATGTTGTAGATGACTGACTGAATCCATATAGAGTCAGATAAGTGATATATCCATATGTGTTTTAGTCATCCTGATAAGTGATAAACTATTAGAATTACTAGTTCAATGGCCACACTACTATGTAATACAATGTGAAGCTCAGACTTGACTCAGATTCATCACTGAACTGGATATACATTTTGAGACACTAAAGGATATTTAACCAATTCATTAAATTACACAAGTCTCAAATCCAGAAGTTAACATTTAATTGAGTCAGCATAATGTTCACGTGATATTACAAGAGGAACTAATTTCATTTTTAACGGGTTTTCTAAATTGAGCATTATGACCACTACTGCATTAGAGATTCTTCAAACAACAGCTATCAAGAGATTCATTTATGAAATACAAAAGAATGCACTAGTTACTTTTGTAGTCTTCTAGGTGCTGCAAGTACTCAGTCACATTTCACCTAAAACATTGAGAGTCGGTTTTGAATGTGTTTATTAGTCAGCCATCATTATTTACTGTAGTCCAGTTCGTTTCAAAAAACAACGTTTACAAAGTCTAGAATTCAAAACGAATCTTAGTTACAGTCCTAAACAGAATAAGAAGTGGAAATGAGACTTCGCTAGGGAGAAAGTTCATAGACTATATGACAGATTAAATGGTCACGTGACCGATTAACTTGATCTCGTAATACAGTTATTGGATGTTCGACTTTGAGTCACACTGTTTGATGACATTATTCAATTTATTTATTTAAACACATAAATATTGGTACAAAGGAGCACCAGATAAATATGCGCCTCGCAAATTTTATTTTATTTGTGTGAGGGCTGTGATACTGCCCAGACTGAAGCAGGTGGTTTTCTAAGGGGGCCACACCCCGAGCCTTTGACCTGAAGGTCTAGTCCACAAGGCAGTGGAGCATCGTAAGGAGATGCCGTTCCATAGTAGCCGGTGACCAACGATTGGTTCATACGCCATTTGTTCCTTCACGATACTGGAGCCCATATGCACCATTGGTTTGGAATGAGGGTTTTCCAACTCCTCTAGGTGAACTTTCCGTGTCCACCAACCCGGTTAAAGCGCCGCACATTCGCTTTTCGTTCTCTCAATTTCGTAAACAACAATAGTGCCACGAGAAGGCAGTGAGTAGGACTTCCCTGGCAGAGGCTATATATTTGCGTTGCCATGTGAGAGCATTTGGAGAGCGAGAGCGGACTCTCCCCACTCTCGGCCGTACCAGGGCATTTGGGGGCACGTTATTCAATCTCTTAAACCGGTGTGGTCTGAGTGAGGTTCGAATATACAACCAAGTGATTGAAAGCCTCAACTTTAAAATTGACTCTTCAGTGGAACAGTAATAACTAGCTGTTAAACAAGGCTGACTGCGTAAATTTCTGTTTGACAGATGAAACTCAACAATGATTGGTGGAGTTTATCAAAACAGGTCATCTCTACGCTTAACAGACTAATCAACTATATATACGAATAAATACAACCATTTACTACGAACAACATAATATACGGAAAGGAAAATCATTGAATCTCGTACAGTCATTGTTTCTTTTTTGTTTATATCTTACATATTCCTAAAAAGTCAATTAAAGGAGAATACAATTTCCAAACGATGAGAAGATTGGATACATTGTTGATTGCTAACTAATTAAAGAACCGGATTTCTAGAAAAAAATCAATATAAATTAAAAGTATGGAGGTGAGAAAGGATTCTAGAAAATGATAGAACATTTAGTCAGTAGAGACATTTGCATAAGCTCGAAATGCTAATAAATCTGAATTATTTTTCTGTAATTGATGAATAATGAAAGCAGTTCCAGCATTGATGAAAAACACAGATCCTTGATCGTATTCACTGAAATATAAAAAAGTGAAGGTATAAGTAAGAATGAATTAATACTTTTAGTATTTGGATGATTGTAGAGTGATCCACTCAAGATTCAAGTAGATTATTCGGGCGAAAAATCATCTGTTTACCAGAAGTAACTTCACTAATACATGAGAGACTGGTTAAAATCCTCTGTTGAATATTGAATCTTTAAGGGCTTTATCAGTTTGCTTTAAACTATAGTGCCACCAGATAAGAATTAGTAAATAGTCTGTTAATAAGAGTGTCATTGAATGATGAGAGTGAACATATATTACACATACTCAACTGGCGATGATCTCGGAACTTTTTCTAAATAGTTTATGACTCAATAGGAATTATATTAATCTGTTGTTGGTAAGAGTTAAATAATGTTATTTATTTCATAAGACTAATAAATTAATACATAAATAGTAAAATTTCCCATTTTAAAAGAAACTTACAAAGATTCACAGACAAACGCGGGAGGCATTGGATAATTATCTACATATTTTGATCTATCATTGTCTAGCTTTGTGTTAGAAGTGGATAAAGTATCCCAGTGTAAACGCTGTAACGTGCCTTTTCCACGGATAATGATCAAAACGCTAGCAGATTTCAATGGTGAAAACTGAACTATTTTATCCTTGTCCGATATCTATAATGAAAAAGATAAGTAAATATCCAATTCGTCCCGTTCTAATTGAAAAATACAAAGTAGGACAGAGATTCTTGACTATATGTTTCACAGTAGAAAGTGGCAATACCAATGAATAAAACTGTTACGTCTGGCCGATTGTGAACGCCATATTCGCTTCCCTAAGCTAGTTCCGTATCCCCGAGCTAGAACCAAACACCGACTTGTAGACCAGAGAAAAGGCACAAAGTGTGAGGGAAGCACTTTACTACAGGGTTCCTTTATGTACAGAAAATATAGAGTTTTTATAGTAATTTAAGAGTCCTTGAGTTTTACTGAAAGTTCTAGAATACTGCTAAACATAGTAGCAGTGTATTAATCAGCCAATCAGGATCTCCACATGTGATATTTCCATTTTCGTTATTTTAGTAACATAATTTCACATAACTTCTAATTAATCGCTGATTGGTTGGGGCTTTTTATGAGCCTCTGGAGGCTCTGTTAGAGTTCTCCGGAAGCCGACTCAACAAAAACACATGAGCAGTCTGAGTGCAATTAAACGTTTTTATTAAAATAATACATAATGGAACCTATACATTTGACAAACTTGGATTGTGGCTAACAGTGGAATTTAAAACGAGTGTTTTATCTTATTTGAGGCTCAGCTTGATGTATCTGAATCCGTGTTGACATTCATACCGAATCAGTGTTGAAGTGACAGACAGCAAGCTGAAGTCTCTATAATACCATCAGCATGTACATGTGCATCAAGCCGATGAGTCCCAAATAGGACGAAATACGTATCTGAGATTCATTTGCTAGTAGCGATCTAACTTTATTAAAACATGTAAATGAATGCCAGTATAAAGGCGATTTGCTTAAGATGGGTATATGCTAATATAGAAACTGGTCACTTGAAGTCTTGAATAAGAACGGAGAAATAAAAACCTTTACAAACAATTTATCATTATCAAGATGTAAAATTATTGTCCAAAATCAATATTGATGATATTGGGTAATTACAACTCGGTTACTAAGTACAGGGTTGCATGATCGTCTTTAACTCACATTATGTGAGGATTCACGATATCACCATGGGTATCGAAGCCGGAGGAGGGGGATTCATGCCCAACTACTGGTTAAAAACTATGTACTTTAGTCAATGAGCTACATGATATCGAGTACAGATCAGATACAAACTAATGTAAACACCTTACTTATGTAGGGTTTTATTCAACGCCTGGATATTTTCAGTGGTAAAATGTCTAACTGTAGTAATGTGGATGAAGTAGGTTGGAATATTGTGGAAGGAGAAACAGGTTCCCGTAAGATCTCAGACATTGCTGATAAATCCCGGTCAATAAGAAGTGTTGATTCGGGTCGAATTGATTTTTCTATAGATTGCATTTAAAAACCACCTAACATCAAATAAAGTATATTTCTTGTTGAAAACTATGAAGTTATAATTTACTGAAGATATTACAAAGAATAACTTTGCATTTCTTCAAAAGAGTAGTTCACTATAACAGGGTTTACTAAATAGTTTTATTAGATGACAGATCACTGATTCTTAACATCAACTAGACTTATAGAAAAGAAAATACCAATCTCCCTATTTTTGGTAAATTTCGGGGAAGCCGCAACAGAATTTCAGGGAAATGGCACAAAAACCCCATAATTCCTCCAAAATCTTATAACAATTGGGGAAAGACCCAAAAATTTCCCCAAAGTGGAGAGATCGGCATGAAGTAGTCAAGATGCTATAGATAGATCTTTTTTTAAAAGATCCGGAAAATCTATACCATACTGAAGGCCTTGGGCGTTTTTAAGTGGCTTGCAGATTGACAAATGCAAATGCAGCTTCCTTGAAATAGCATATTATAAAAGAGTGGTAAAATTGCAAAGGATCCAAAATTTTAACACGGGTAATGAACCTATTGGGGTTGAATATAGGTGAATTAGTACCCAACAACTCTAAACTATAATTCCTAACCCAAATACGTAACGACGTTTCAACTTCGCGCTAATAATTAACATCCGATATTTCAAATTTGATTAGTCCCTCAATACCGTAAGTATAGCATAATTTGACCAAAAATTATAGGTCGAACAACAGACATTAAACTTGCTACCTACTGAGATTTTATCCACAGCAAAATCATCAACTGGAGGAGAAAATGTCACGATTTCAGACATAACTGATGTATCATATTCAATTGGTTTATTTTCTTGATCATCACTAGTATGCATATCTGAATTGATTGGTACAATTTTTTTCGTCTGACCAACAAACTTCAATGCTGATCCCCATCGAGGTTCATATTGAATAATTCGAAGCAGATGATCCACATCTTTGAATTTCGGTGTTAAACCGGCACGAATTACATTATCCGAAGAAGCCATACATTCCACACAATCACCGGATAAATAAGCATGTGGTAAATTAGGCTTTATGATATAAAGAAATAACGATTAAGTTATTGTCAAAATTCGAAACTTCGATAGCATATGACTATTACTGAAAATATACATTAAAGCATATACATACATATCCATCCTGTATATAAGTAGAGTGAAGTCATAAAACTTATAACTTAAAAGAAGAAGGGTATATATATCATATTCCCTCTAAGATACTTCATATTTGTCCCGATACAATTGTACAGTCTCCATTTCACTTGGCTGAAAATTTCCAGGAAGTTAGGCTCTATGTGTTTTATCGTTCTACATTTTTCCAAACTTTGAATGTTTTGGTATGATCTTGTACTCAAATGACTTTCTTAAAGTTACCTCACGAGAAGTCAGTTGACAGTGAACCAGACAAACATAAAAAAATTACACGCGTTCAATGATTTCACCTATACAAGAGATTGATGTTCATCATCCATCATGCATGCATGGAGTTCATACACTTCTCAACAACATGCTCCATCCATCTGGAAAAAGTTAGTTTATTCTCAATATCTAAATTATGGTGAGAAAATTTAGCGTATACTCCTCTTCAGCTATTTATCACAGTCTACTAGGTTCAGATACTTAGTAACAATGTGGTGTACAGTGAACACTATCATACTTAGTGTAGGTATCAATCCTACAATAATTTGACTTTCGTATTGTTGGAAGACGAAATCTTTAGTCCAACCCGAAATGAGTCCTGACAAACTTCGAAACTCGAAAATGAGAGGATTTTTTTAAATTTGTAGTACAATACATCGACGGTCAAACTAATGTTCCAATGTAAAGTGTATCCTCATTAGACAAAGTGATATTTCCAAGAAATAGGAAAAAAAGACTAAAAAGTATTGAAAGATATACTTAATGGTCCATTCAAGTCTGAAGGATACAAAAAAAGCTACAGAAAGATTATCACTGTCTATTACAATTTATGATAATCATTCAAGTCAACAAGTTTTACGATGATTAGGACCCGATAATAACCAAGGAGTCGTTACAAATCAATTGAATACAACTACTCTAGATTTGCTACTCATGTTTTTCATTTAGAACGTAATGAAAGATAAAATAATCGTCTATAAGATAGGAAAAACTGATCAAGTCATTTTAAAAGATGCATTTAAATATGCAAACATATTAGACTTCAGGATGAATAGGCCAGATTGGACAAATGTAAAATAAGACAGATACTTTATAGTGTTATATATATATATATATATATATATATATATATATATATATATATATATATATATATATATATATATATATATATATATAGTAACTCATTTTGTAAGTCATGTTGTGGTGTGGTCTACTTATATCTACATAAGTAATATATGGCGATGGTCAGACATAGAATGTATTTTGGCAGAAGACCGATAAGGAAAGAACTGAAATGAAAGGCAATTGATAGAAAAATGCATGAACAATGGAATTAGAGAAGATGAACTGATATTTACAGAAGAAACAGTGAAGATTGAGACAATTGGTTTTTATTTTGCAAATTAACTGTTTGCAGTATTGTTATCAGAATTTAGTGAGATAGTCTGTAATTTGCGCTTAAATACATTCGATTGTGCTCACCCGTGTTTTGTTAACCACAATGTAACATTTTTACTATCTATATTAATTAATCAGTAATTGTATCAAATAAATTTAGGTGAGAATAACACGAATTTATTCTATTAAAGTTTGATAACATCCGGACAAATTGTATATATTGGTCAAAGATCAAAATAAAAAACCTCAAAATGAAGTTTGTTAAAAGTTAGCGTGTGTATGTATCAGCATCATGTAGTAAAAATTACTATAATTTACGTATGTTGAACAAGATGTAACGGTTAAATAAAACAATAAATAAATATGGATTTCACTGCTAGCCACTATCCATCTTTGCTTACAATGTTTGTGAAATAAGGCTATACGCACAGTATGCCAATAAAAGACTGACCAGTTGCAGTCCTAAACATCATTGGGAAGATTCAAACAAGTAATACTAAGTGAATTTAAACTTCACGCCATTGTACAAACAAGTGGCTATCAGGACTCAGTGGCTGAGTGGATAACGTGATGGCGTTTGAAGCGAAAGGTTCGAGTCCCAGAGTGGACATCAACTCTGAGATGAAGGTAAATCCAGCTGACGAGTCCCAAATAGGACGAAACGCGCGTCCCGGATTCCACTGCTAGCTACTATCCATCTTTGCTTATTTATAAGAATGTTCTAGAATACTGACTGGAATAATAACAAACGACCATGAAGCTTGAAATAAATGACTGCATAATTCAATGAATGAATACAGGTTAATAAAAATAATAAAGAATAAAATACTTATATGAGTTCACCTAATTTAGCTAAAAAAATTTATTAACTAGGGAGCCGTTAAAAGACGACATAATCAGATAACGACTTTGATATTAAGACAAAAAGAAACTGCAAAGTTCACTTTTCAGTATATAAGTCAAGTTTTCGGCAAATTATAGTGACAAGTTCGACAAATGCAGGTAGTTGTTTTTTCATTACCTTGAAACATTTAATCGTATCCTCTATCAGATGTCCTAAATCAAACAGACAACAAATCACAAAAGTTAGTTGACATTTTTACAACTAATTCCCAGCTATACAATTCACACTCAATAGTAAACGCATGGAGTTACTCTGTTAAACTATGCCTCTCCCCAATACTCTTGACCCACCCATTCTCTAACTACTAAGCTAATAAAAAAAGCACAAGCCTAGTGTGTCATACAGAGAGATTTGTCTTGATAACTTCATCTCGCAGTGCTAGTGTGGCATGACAATTTGACCCGATGCATATATTTGCGTTGCACATCACTGAGTGAACTTGACAATCTATTCTACAGTTGAATTGATTATCTTGTTTAAAGCCACGTGTCCACTAACACGACTAAAAGTTAACAGGTACATTTCTGATATTACCACCAACCACATGTATCAACTTATGATTCAGCAATTTACACATGCATTGTAAAAGGAAGTGGAATTGATCGACAAGATTGCCCTTCTCTATGACTCAGAAACATTTACACCAATTAATCACTAGTGGCCAAATTTCGACTTCATCGTTAGGATTCAATCAGCACAAAAGATAAGAGAACACGATAGTGGTTATTATTTAGAGGTCAATTCGTAAATTTGCGCGAACTGGTATCAGTCACAAATTAATTAGCAATCTTGGGTTGCCTTAGACTCAAAGACTTCTGCAAATGACCTGTCAAAATTTCAGAAATTAAACAAGTAGTGTAAATATAACACACCCGGATATGATCAGAAATGGTAAGTAGACTCATTTCTTGATCACTGCATTACTAATCTGGTAAAAATTACTATCTATCTGCAAACCTAGAGGTAGTCCATATCAACTGCATATATACGAAAACTATGAATTACTCAATATTCATCACAAACCAATGAAAATCAAGGAGCATTAGATAAATGTTTCATTCTAGTTTGCAACTATTCAGAAGTCCTGTACACTCACGAACTCACATTGGATAAAACTCAGGATCTTTATAATTAATGGAGAGTGCAATACTACTAGGTTAAAATCGAACAGCCCACATTTTCAGCCTTCATTAATTTGCTATAAACCGTGATCGACAGTATATGTAATTGGTAAGTTATTGTCCCACTTTAACGATTGAGCTTCCGACCAATGGTGCACATGGGCTCCAGGATCCTGAGGGAATAAATGGCGTATGAACCTATCGTTGGTCACAGACTGCCATGGTACTTCATCTCCTTACGATGCTCTACTGCCTTTTGGATTAGACCTTTAGGTCAAGGGCTCCGGGTGTGGCCCCCTAATAAAACCACCTGCTTCTGTTTGGGTGCCCGGGCAGTACCATAACCCTCACACAATTAAATGAAATGACAATTTTTTGTGTGGCGCATATATATCTGGTGTTTTCTTGTGCCAATATTTATGTGTTCAAATAAATAATAACATAAATAAACTCTTCATAATCTAATTTCAAAGACAGTAGAGCTTCATTTTCTGTTGATTTTTGTTGTTGAGATTAACTGTTATTTGGTTATACATCACTTAACATGAAGGTGATCAATTACATATCTGCACTCATATATATTCAACATTATTTGGTTGTTACAGAATTAACAAGTAAAAAATAAAAAAAATAATTTTTACTCACTTCAAGAAAAATTGCTTCTCCTGGACTGAGTTTTAAATAATTAAAAAAGAACAAACTAAAACAGCCAACATCTCCAGGGTAATCTGTTGCTAAACGAATGAATACCTCACCAAGAGTTTCTGTATCAAGAATATAATTTTTAAAAGGTGGGATAATTATCTTTTCACCATTAGTCAGACGTCTTTTCAAAGCTTCCACTAAATTACTGACCTGTAAAGAAATGAAAGGATATTTAACCAAGTTCAGATAAATGATTATATTTTAATCGTAAAATTGATAAAAACTGAGACGACAGTCCGAAATACCAAATACACCTTCATAATAGATCGCTTTATAAACTAGATTGATTTCTAAGAAAATTCCTCACAAATTTATGTCCATAGTGGTTTGGGATGAAAAATACAAACAAAATTACCTCACTCCATGAAAGCTTATGTGTACATCAATTGATTTACTATTTCTGTGTGACAATCTACGTCTGTATTTGGCATTACTCACTAAGGAGTTCCATCATATAATGAGAATGCTTTGAAGATATATTTAATTATTTATCTACAACATGTGTATGTGTTATACCATTATTGGTCATGCTTTGAGGTGCACTGAGCTCCTTTATGGTATATTTGATATTCGAAATATCTTCTGCAGAACAAGCGGTACAAGATAAGCAGTATATTTTGTATGTTTGTTAAGATTTCGATATTCACCAATCTACAATGGTTGATATGACTCTAGAAACAACTAAGTGAATTTCTATGATAGGATTAGGTGTTGACACAGATCAGTCCTGGAAGTGACATCTTGGATTTGAGGGGAGAGCGATGGATTCCAAAACTTGTTGTATTGTCACGTAGTTTCCAGAAGACAAAGTCGGTATTTTCATAAAATTTTTATACTTTACATAAATGAAACGATTTCTAGCTAATGCATCAATCCCCGAGAAGTCAGATTATGTGATAAAAGAAACCTTTAAGAGTATACCTATGACAAAGGTAAGTGAAACTGACAAGAAAGTTTTTAAAGAGCGACAATTTACAGGGATTTAGCCAACTTTACAGTCTAGTTAGCAAAATTTTGGTGAACCAGAAATATTAAAATAAGGAATTATTTTTCATTACATAAACCAGTAAGTATTTCTAATTTTTTTCCTACGCTGTTTAAAAAAACCTATCATTATCTATCTGGCAATCCATTTTTTACACTTAGAACTTAAATGTATGTAAACTATGTTATGCGCAATGGATTACATTATTATAGGACCCTACAGGTTGATAGTAGTGATTTCTTTTAGCAAATAATACTTTCATATATGTATTATTAGCAGCTTTATTAGAAAACGTGCATGTACAATATGGAAATTAGCTCTAACTCCTATTGTGGTTTAGTTCTGATCCACCAGAACGACTGATACAGGCATTATTTACCTGGTGCATATTTAGGCTACACTGCAAGTGTGAGGGTTATTGGTGCCAACTGGGTGGTCAAACCGAAGGAGGTGGTCAGGTCTCGAAGCCGTGATATAATGGGTGAAAGTTGAACCATGAAAATTGAACCATGCTCTCCTAAGTGTTCGAATACCACTATCTCTAAAACGCTTACTCTCAGTTGAACTACTACAATGGGATGTCATTTATAGTCCTTGAATTCTGACACATAAGTTAGATTGAATGATTGTTTGTTACACTTAAAAATGACTGACTGAGCACATCAAAACGAAAAATGATTTAAAGTATGTGATTATTTGGACTTTCAAAAAAACCTCAAAAAGTTTAACAACAATAATTTTTGCATATGTTTTATCGTAAATGTCACTGACGAGGTGAAGGTACCAGATTTTTGACCATAAGTACTTGACTATTCTATAAAAAACATTGGTTTACTTCTTGTACATGAATTCAATCTATTCCTTGTATATTTGGTTTGGATATTGAAAAAGTAAACTTGTTTGTTTTACAGAAGAAAATTTCATTTTTCCAAAAACCATAATAAATGCATACGGAATAAAAATGTCCATGATCATGCACTCTACGCTCTCTAGTGTGAATGTTGACTTGGGATTATGTGGAATTATCAGCGTGATTATTAAAAAAAACTGAACTTCTTTGGTAAAGCTAAGATTGATAGCATCCGATTTGAAGTGAGAAACCCATATATATTTAACAGTAGAAGACAACAGAACAAATATAGAACAACTGAAAATATTTCATACATGCCACACGAGAAAAGAAAAGCTAAAAGAGGTCAACTTACAACACTGGAATCGGCATTCATTAAACGAGAATAGGCGGCTTTAACTGATGAAGAAGTAAGCGTTTTGTCTACTGTGAAAATATTTAACAAGCCATTTGTAAAATCTGAACCAATAATGGCATGAAGTTCTGGAATATCTATAGAAGACAAAATATAACAATCAGGATCAGAGAAATTACTGGAACATTAAATCTAATCATCAGTTCAACTACGACTTCACTCCTTCAAATATCATTATCACAATTGATTGATTACTGGGTGGTGATCAGTGTCATGTGTGTAAAGTCTTTCTTGGTGCAGATTGAATGCTATCGACCAAGTTGCAATGTAGCCACTAATCTAGGTGACTTGACACTGCATGCACGATGTTGAGATAAGATGGTGGTTGGAGGTAGTCAACAGGAAACCCTAGACCCGGGTTTTGTGCTACTTGGCACTCGTCAGCAAGGTGCTTGTAATCTTGACGGAACTGGTGCTCCCTGACGGATAGCATTCGATCTGCACCAAGTAGGACTTCCAACACATGACATTGGTCACCACCCAGTGATCAATCAATTGTGGTTACATCTCAGTCCTACAGGAGGTTGGTTGCGGCCCGGATAGCTCAGTGGTAACGTCTCTGACTGTGAAGCTGGGTGACATGGGATCGAATCCATCAGGGAGCACCAGTTCCCTCAAGATTACAGGCACACCTTGCTGACGAGTGCCAAGTAGCACAAAACCCGGGTCTAGGGTTTCCTGTTGACTACCTCCGACCACCATCTTGAATCTCTTAACACATATTTCCGTCTCGACAGTCGAATAACATCTGCAGTCCTCATACAATAGCTATGATATAACATTAAATAGACTGAACTGAAGTTTATCAACCACTTTCAGTATATCAGTGATTTATCCTGCTTGATAAATGATTAAGTGTGATTAATTAAATGAGTGAAATAATATAGTAGATTTATGTTGTTTTCGCTACAGAATAAAAAAGTGAACCCAACTGGTGGAACAAATAAGTGAGCCTCTCATAGCGATTTCAACAAAAACTTTAGAAGCAGGGAATACTTAATAATTTTACTTAAAATTTCTTCACAATACTATAACCACTACTAAGCATGAATTTGTATAGAGCTGCTTATTTACACAGTTGTATGGGTACAGAATTTATCACTTTGTGAACTTCATCAACGCATCGATCGACAAAGAACACGAATACACTATGGATTAAAGTTACCATAACAAATAGGATAAATATTTTGTACACTAAGGTTAGACTACGTTTCATGGATAGTCGGATTTCCTGCTGCCTTTAGTAATTTCCAAGTAAATGTCATGAAACCACAACAGAACATGTGTTTGCAGGTCTGAGTAAACTAGGTCGCCCTCTGCTGAAAAGTTTCATCATTGCATTTTTAGTGCATGACGACCTGTAAAACCCAACTGCAATTTGTCAAGCAGGTGCCTCAGGTATTAAATAACAACAATAGGACCTTAGACGGTGACTCTAACAAGTAGCTCCAAATAGTTACAAAACGCCAGCATTATATTCCCCTGGGAGCTACTAGGAATGAGTAACAAAAACATTAAATAACATATATTTAGACAAACAGTCAGCATGAAAACGAGATTAAAGCCAATAATTTGGTAACGAGGAATATAATCTCAACCTGATCATACTACTTTTAATGCCTAAGACGTATTTGAAAGTGTTTTAAAATTATTCATGTAAGAGGAGATTCCACTTACGTTTCGCAAAGGCACCAATTTCTTCGGGTGGTCTGAAACCAACCATTGCCTCGAAAGGTGTTAAAGCGATAGCTATTTCCGGTTTGTGATTAGCATCTTTGTATAGGTCAGGTCTATTAGCATGTAACTTAGCAGCATACTCCTAAAACAAGAAAATAAAACTTTTGGGATAAATAAAACTAGCACTTCCCAAATACAAACCTGTTGGCTTTTTTCGAAAGGAAAACATCATAACAAGGTTTTCTTAGTAAGTCATAATGACTAAAATAGAAAACAACGGAAGAAAATGGTAGTGAGTGCTCGATAAATACAGAGACAAAGATCTCTAAAGGTATCACACAAACGATTAATTTGAAGGAGGTCACACAAAAGTATACTCTCAGTTTAAAACACTTTAGAATAATATACGAGAAAATCGCTTAGAGGGGAGAGATATTAAAATCGACGTGATTAAAATAGAAGAAAGGAAAATAACTGAATGGTTACAAAGTGATTGAGACATAAAGAAAGGTAGTTAATGAACTGGACTAAGTCACCTCCGTCAGTGAACGCTCGAAATTCCATCGACTAACTGACCTCCAACCAGACTTTATGCGTTATCTCAACATTAGTCTCTTGGTGGTTCAACTATATACAGTCATTGCCACGAGAAAGGTACAGGATATATGTCGTCTATCCGTACTTAGTATCGTTGAAGTATCTTCTATATCACAAACCAGAAAACATCCCAACTTTTAATAATATCGACAACAGATGTTACATTTAGTGACACTTTTCATTCAAACAGAACAGAAATGAAGTCCCAGGTGAGCTAGAGGTTCAAATAAATGAACGGGTAAGAACTGAATCGAAAAAGGACGGTTAAGTGATTTGGCACAGTATGAAAACCTGTTCATGATAAAATAATCAGCTCTCCTAGTTTATGAACACATTTCACCAAGACATATATCACTAATAATATCGGATTATTATTTTTTTGAAACAAACAACTCTACGATTGCAATCATTACCACCGTCATAAGACCCGGACAATTTCGAGCCAAGTGTAGAAAATCAGCTACCCGAACACAAAGAATATTTAGAACATCCTACAAATCATGGATCATTTTCAGACTCTGAAACAGATTGAACACACCAGTTATTTTGCGAAGTGATATAGTTGCATAAAATGTTGCTACATAAGACTGGCATCTTTTAGTCTATCGCAATTTTATGGTTGTAGTCGTACAGATTATTTGACTTCAAGTTACAAACTCAAATCGGAATAGAAACCAGTGGCGACCTTACTATTGTTTCCGACTACATTTTCCATGAAACAAAACTTATTTAACAAAGATAACCACAGTTGCGTTGTGAACGAAACCGCCCTATTTGCAGAATAATAGTTCCATTTACTTGTTGGTTATGCCATCCCTACCCCATTAAATTACACTGTCATCCTCAGTTGAGAACAATACATGTTTCCTTAAAATCACCAGGATAAGTATTTTATATGATAATTAAAATTCGATGGCATATCCGTTTGTGCTTTCCAGACTAACCGAAGAATTGAGGTTTAAAACTCGTAGGCCATGCATGTTGTCCAAAACCTTAAATACTTTAAGGAATCATCTTTCCGATATCTTTTTGATCTATATATTTGTTTTCTGTCAGTTCTGCACTAACAGTGGTAATTCTATCTTACAAAAACATAATCGAGCAAACCTTAAGTAAACACGCGGATGAGCTCGAGGTGTTTACCGTTTTGGCCAGTCAGAAGACGACAAGGACAAATGAATGAGTAATGATTGGAATATGATTATAAAGTTCCTATATTACAGTTAATGTCGGTTCGTGATAAAAAATCAACAGAACACCTACCTTTAATAATATTTTGAGATTTGAGTAATAGCTTTTTTAGTTCTTTATTGATTAAGTTGTAAACTTGAGATTCAACCACAATTGTTTTACATGAAAATATCAATAAAGTAAAAAACAAATTAGGGATAAAATGAGCGACTACCTGATTTCAATACAGAAATTATTGTGTACAAGCTTACCTTGTCTGGATGAGCCTGGATAGATAACGCCTTTCGCACAGAAAGAACTTTGAACAGAAAAGGTAAAGCCTTGCCAAATCTTTCACACACTGTGGAACCTAAACAGTGTGGATTTCTTGAAATATAAGCGTCAAGAGAAACTGAAGGACTATCCATCATGAAAGACGGTCCAGAAACATGAGTCCCCATCCATAGCTGTGATGATTTGAACTTGAAAGACATCAATTACCTCTGCATATGGCTTCAAGTTATCTAGCTCTTGGGTTTGACTCAATAGCTTGTACACCTCACTGTTTACTCCAATTTTACCCCAATCATATACTTGAAAAGCACATTTCAAACGAAACATAGCTGGCTAATAACCCTATAAGTCACAAAACGGTTTTCAGTGACCTTGACTTGAAATCTCACACATTTACTATCCAATATCCATCAAATGGCTTTTAAATGATTCTGGACGGAACAGAAGAAGATTTTGTTTAAATGGTTCAAATGATCGTGGACGGAGTAGAAGAAGCTTTCGCTTAACGGGCTTACGTGAGTAGTAGCAATGGATCACCATGAAGATGCAACGGATATTCTAGTTTTACAACTGGATACCAGTAGCACCTTCTATGTTCGGTCGTTCCCAGTCAGATAGAAATCAGAAGTCAGACGAGAAGAGGCAGGAAAGATATATTTGATTCGTTACCAATATATCGAGGACCTTTTCTATAAGCTGGCTAATGAAACGTAGGAGCTGTGTCCCACGCCGTGTTGAAACGTGATCTGGTGCGGATGCATGACCGAAAGCCTTCAGCTAAACAAGTCCACTTAAACAACGTGGTCAGCATCCAATGTCGAACACTTAATGAGCTATTGATTTTGGGGAATTATTTACAGCTACAGATCACTCCCCCCCTAGTGAGGTAGTGATGCCCCTAAGACGTGACCAGCTAGAAGTTTAAACCCAACGAATTTGTCGTTGGTAAACACTCTTCTGATAGCTTGCTTCGTTAAGCAGCGTCTGGTCGTCTTTCCTTAAACTATGGGACCAAAATGTACAACGTAGCAAATAAAGAAATATAGTACAATGAAAATTTCGGTTCCTTGCGAAACTTCGTCGTTCTTTTCCAGCCGTCCTGGAAAAGAGGAAAAATAAAACGTGAGTGCATGTCAAAAATACACTCGTACTTGCGTAAGGACACAAGATGAGCGGAAAAAATAAACTGATACACTTACAAACAGCGTAAAAGCGATCGGAAAAAAGGTTTTCTTTTGGGTTTTTTTCAATATATAAATATATATATATATACGCTCAAAAAAATAATAAAAATGTTTTGTTTTTTTTACATAAATAAAAAAATGAGCATATTAAAAAAATTTATAATAAACTTTGAAAGGGTAATTCAAGATAAAGCTTATGTCCTACGTGCAATATTCGTTAAGATGTTCTGGAAATCTTACTCGTCTTCCAGAACGCGTTGTTTTAGGTTTTTCTATCGACGTTGACGAAGTATCAAGTTGTGTGTCGGTTGTCGTGTAGGGTACTACGAGTGTAGTAGCTGTGTCGTTTGCTTGTACAGAAGGAAAATCGACGTAGCTACGGTTTCCTTCTAGGTACGCTGCTTTGAGTCGATCGATACTGATGCTATCTTTCGTACCGTTCTTATCGACTACATCGTACTTAGGTTCACGTTGAAGAACTTTGAAGGGTCCTTCGTATGCTGATTCGAGGGGTCGTCGATGTGAGTCTCGACGAACGAAGACGTGTGTACTATGTCGTAATTCGGGTTGAACGAAAACATCAGTTGATTGAGGTCGAGTGTGAGCAGGTTTAACTGAACGCATAGCGTTTGTAAGCCTACTCGTGTAAGAGTTTAGATCCATGTTCAATGAAGAAGCTGAAGGATCCACGAATTCTCCTGGGAGTCGGAGTGTCGTTCCGTAAACGAGTTGAGATGCCGTGTATCCAATGTCAGCTTTCACTGCATTGCGGATACCTAGCAAGACGAGTGGAAGAGCGTCTGTCCACTGTGAAACGTTTGCAGCTGATAATGAAGCTTTTAGTTGTCGATGAAAACGTTCTACCAACCCGTTTGCTTGTGGGTGGTAGGCGGTCGTTCGGAAGCGCGTGATTCCTAATAGTGAGGTGAGACAACGGAAAAGTCCATATTCAAATTGGCGTCCGCGGTCTGTAGTGATTGTGGAAGGGCAGCCGAAATTTGCTACCCATCGTTCGACGAAAACGCGGGCCACGATTTCAGCAGTAATGTCCTTAATCGGTACTACTTCTGGCCATCGAGTAAAACGGTCTACGCATGTTAGGAGATATGAGTATCCGTTCGAGTCGGGTAAGGGTCCTACCAAATCTATATGGACGTGGTCGAAACGAGAGTCAGGGGTTTTGAAAGAGCCTAAGGGACATTTGTTGTGTCTGATTACCTTAGATTTCTGGCAGCTTACACAGGAGCGTGCCCACTCCCTCACGTCTTTATTCATACCAGGCCAACAAAAGTGTTCGGCTATAAGTTCGATTGTTGCACGAGCACCTGGATGAGAAAGATTGTGCAACGTATTGAAGACGTTGCGGCGATAATGTTTTGGTACAATTGGACGATCCCTACCTGTAGATGTGTCACAGAGTAAGGTTTCCTTACCTGTTCCCATCTGCCTAATACTTAGTTTAAGAGTTGTCGAGGATAACTCATGCTGAAGATCAATGTCTTCTTTTTGAAGCTGAGCGAGTTTAAGAAGGTCGATTCCTTGGAAACTGTTCAAGGAGCTAATTCGAGACAAGGCGTCTGCGACTACATTGTTTGCTCTAGAAATATGTTGTATGTCTGAAGTAAACTGCGAAATGTAGTCGAGTTGTCGAGACTCTCGCGGTGAGTACTTGTCTGAAGATGAATTTAAAGAGAAGGTAAGAGGTTTGTGATCGGTAAAAAGCGTGAATTCTCTTCCTTCGATGGAATGTTGAAAATGCCGTACAGCACAATACATAGCTAGGAGTTCCCTACCGAACGTGCTGTACCTAGATTCCGCATCTAGCAACCGTCTCGAGAAAAATCCTAAAGGTTGCCATAAGCTGTTAACCCATTGTTGTAAGACTGCTCCGATTGCTGAGTCGGATGCGTCTACGGCGATACTAATGGGCGCTTGACTGTCCTGATGAGCAAGCAAGGTTGCTTTAGCGATGTGTTCCTTAACTGTGGAAAATGCTTTACGGGCTATGTCGTCTAAACTAATTGATTTCGCATTTCCACGAAGCTGATCGGTTAATGGTTTCATTAGGGATGAGCATTTAGGTATGAACCGTCTATAGAAACTTACGAGTCCGTTAAAAGTTCGTAAGTGCTTGATCGTGGTCGGTTCTGGGTAATCCAGAATGGCCGCCACTTTGCTCCTAAGGGGTCGGATGCCTTGGGCATCAATGGTGTGTCCTAGGAAGTCTAAGGAGTTTGTTCCGATTTGGCATTTCTGTATGTTGACAGTAATGCCATGCCTTTGGAGTCGATCGAAAACAATGTCCAGATGCTTGAGATGCGATTCTTTGTCCGGACTTGCTATTAGACAGTCATCAACATACGCATGTACGAAGTTGAGACCTGGGAAGACGTCGTCTATAAACCTTTGGAAGGTTTGAGCCGCGTTTCTTAAACCAAAAGGCATTCGTAGAAATTCGTAAAGACCGAAGGGAGTGATGATGGCGGTTTTAGGAATGTCGTCAGTTGCCATCGGGATTTGGTTATAAGCTTTAACCAAGTCGATTTTCGAAAAGACAGTTGTACCTTTCAAGGTAGCTGTCAAATCGTGAATATGAGGCAGCGGGTAACGATCGGGAATGGTTTTAGCATTCAGGCGCCGATAATCACCAGTTGGCCGCCAATCATTGCTGTCCTTTTTAGGGACCATGTGCAATGGGGATGCCCATGGACTATTCGATGGTCGAATTATCCCTAGGTCCATCATGTGGTTGAATTCGTTTTTAGCTAACCTAAGCTTTTCGGGAGCGAGTCGACGGTCTTTCGAAAATACAGGTGGTCCTGTAGTCGATATGTGATGTGTAACATTGCTGGTTACACAAGGTAATTTCGATTGCGATTGGTATATCCCGGGGTATTTGTCGAGTACAGCTTGGTACAAGGGTCTATGGCGTGCTTAATCGTGACTGGGGATAACCTGCAACCAGAACAAGGAGTTACGCAAACGGACAACTCAGTGTTTCCGTCTATTAACCTTCGTGCGCGTGTGTCGATGAGTAGATTGTGGTGTTGTAACAGGTCAATACCAATGATTGGCATAGAGACATCTGCAATCACGAAAATCCAGTGTATGGGTTTACGTAAACCCACGTTAAGGTAGACGTACCTTTTACCGTAATTAGCGATTGGCTTTCCGTTTGCCGCCTGTAAACTTAAAACAGACTCGCGAAGTCTGTCGTCGAGATTTGCTGGAAGAACGCTAACTTCTGCGCCAGTGTCGACGAGGTAGCGAACTTTCGTGGTCACATCCGTGACATATAAGAGGCGGCTGTGTTCGCCGGCTACGGTTGCCGTTAACGCGTGCCGGCTGGGAAGTTTTCCGAACTGTTTTTCGTGTCACTCGATTTTGGGGTCGGATAATTGCAAGGTTTCCTGCAGTTTCTGGAAAACTTACCGTACTGGTTATGATACCAGCACCAGTCGGGATTGTCTGTCTCTCGTGGTCGAGAGCCAGATCGCTTACGTGAGGCACTTCTACGCGGGGTTTTTGGCCGACTACGGTCATTGCGAACTCTAAGATATCGTGTAAGCGTGTGACATAGTTCGGCCATGTCAGTCGAGGTCGATTGGGGTTTTTCTTTGACGGAAAAAACCTCGGCCTTAGAAGATCTAGTGATTTCCAAGATTCGATCGGCAGATGCAGCTAGTTCATCAATGGCATTGTTTTGAAATGAAACAAGCACTGCCTGCACCTGTTGAGGGAGTTTAGACAAGAAAAGTTGTCTAAATAGGCCATCATCGAAAGTTCGTTGGCCGATGACTTCTCTCATTCTAAGCAACATGTCCGTCGCAGAACCATGTTGCAAGTCGATATTGTTAAGGAGTTGGTCTAACCGTTGTCGATCAGTTAGGTCTCCTCGTTTTAAAATCGATAGCTTAAGCGTTTCGTAAGGTTCGGGAACATCACTAGTAAACATACTAGGTGTTACGTTCCTGTTAAATTAGCGCGGTAACGCCTTAACTAACGCGAGGAAACGTGTGCGCGAGTCCGTGATTCCGTGCATGCAAAAATCGGTTTCTGCATAGCAGAATCAGGACTCGATATTGTCGGGTCAAAATGGCGTTAACTGAATCGAAATAGTGGGAATAGACTTAAACTTAAGAACCTTAGGAGAGTGTTCCGTCATAGTAATATAGATATCGAAAAATGTCTAAGTAAAATATATCCGAGAAAAAAAATTCGCGAAAAAAGTATATCACAATATATAAAATTCAAATAAAGAATAACAATGAATAATAATATTCAAAAATGGAACAGACTCACAGTATATTGACTTGGTGTACCAGATCACGTCGGGTTCACCAATGAAGATGCAACGGATATTCTAGTTTTACAACTGGATACCAGTAGCACCTTCTATGTTCGGTCGTTCCCAGTCAGATAGAAATCAGAAGTCAGACGAGAAGAGGCAGGAAAGATATATTTGATTCGTTACCAATATATCGAGGACCTTTTCTATGAGCTGGCTAATGAAACGTAGGAGCTGTGTCCCACGACGAGTCGAAACGTGATCTGGTGCGGATGCATGACCGAAAGCCTTCAGCTAAAC